GATAGATAGATAGATAGATAGATAGATAGATAGATAGATAGATAGATAGATAGATAGATAGATAGATAGATAGTCTTTTTTAGCTGTAATCGTATACAGTAAATTCTCCTATTGTTTTGTAAGTATACCATTGTTTGAGCATATTTGTTTTGGCTAGGATGTATGTGTGGAAAAGTATATTTTTTACTGTATATTTGTGTGTTCTAAGTATAGAAATAATATTCTAAAATATTTTACAGCACGCTAATGTATGAACTGSTGGTAGTACGCAAGTGTTACACTGAACAAAAAAAATGTTAAAATCATGATGAAGGGAGAAAATTTCAGTGTATTACACTGAGCTCATTGGGTTCAATGGGTTCTTATAAATGTCTGTTCATATGATGGTTGAGTATGTCATCTGTTAGCAAAATGCCATTTTAAGAAAAAAATGACATTGTTTTGAATGTAAAGTTTCATTTCACAKTAGAAATTAGTGTTTTTACCCATTTTGTGTGATATTTGGATTTGTGTTTAGAGATCTGAGAAATTGAACCACGCTTTCAGAAAATGTGTGTAGGATCGGTTCTAAGAGTCTGTCACAGACAACCTTAACAAAAAAAATGGCTAAACTGTCATCAGATTTACATATATTGAGTTAATATTTGGTGTGACAGTGTGATATTTTTTAAAATCTTTTTAAGATTCCTTGGAGTGCTTCAGTTGTCCAGAGGACTTCTGGCCAGGCYCACGCAGTGACCACTGTGTTCCTAAGAAAACTGAGTTCCTGTCCTATCAGGAGCCTCTGGGTATCTGTTTGACAACCACCTCACTGCTGGGAACATTTATMTGTGCAGTTGTTCTGGGGATCTTCACCCATCATCGAAGCACACCTATTGTGAGGGCCAACAACTCAGAACTGAGCTTTTTGATTTTACTCTCACTGAAACTTTGCTTCCTGTGTTCGCTGCTGTTCATTGGACAACCCAAACTGTGGACATGCCAGCTGAGACATGCAGCATTTGGGATCAGTTTTGTRCTTTGTGTCTCATGCATCCTGGTTAAAACCATGGTGGTTCTGGCTGTATTCAAAGCTTCCAAACCAGGAGGTGAAGCCCATCTCAAGTGGTTTGGTCCTACACAGCAGAGAGGAACTGTRTTTGCTCTTACTTGTATCCAAGCAGCAATCTGTGCCATGTGGATTGTCTCTGCTTCACCAGTGCCTCATAAAAACACCCAGTACCACAATGACAAGATAGTTTATGAGTGTGAGATTGGTTCAACACTTGGATTCTCAGTTTTACTCGGCTATATTGGCTTACTGGCTATTCTCAGCTTCATGTTAGCATTTTTAGGACGAAATCTTCCTGACAACTTCAACGAGGCAAAATTTATCACTTTCAGCATGTTGATCTTCTGTGCTGTGTGGATGGTCTTTGTTCCTGCATATTTAAACTCTCCAGGTAAATATGCAGATGCAGTGGAGGTGTTTGCCATMCTGGCTTCTGGTTTTGGCCTCTTGTTAGCAYTGTTTGGACCTAAATGTTACATAATCCTCTTGAGACCAGAAAGGAACACAAARAAGGCTATCATGGGTCGGGAAACCACTAAGTCTTGAGGAGTTCAGRATTTATGAAGTTATCTGCAAAATATCAGTTGAGACTAWCRGGAATGAGTTTTATCAGAGGCTAATGAGACACAGAACAGATTTCATCCATCCATTCAACCACCCATTATTTATACCCGTTCCTTCCTTTTAGGGTTGTGGGCGTCACTTGTGCTCATATCCAGCAGTCACTGTAAGAGGCACATAGTACACCCTGGACAGGTCGCAAGTCAATCACACATTGAGGCAAACGATACAAACAATCATTCACTCTCTCTACAAACAATTTAAAGTTATCAGTTAACCTAACTGTCATGTTTTTGGTTTGTTGGAGGAAGCCAGAGTACCCAGGGAAAACCCACACATGCACAGAGAAAACTTGCAAACTCTAAAAAGGACCCCGGGCAGAGATTAGATCCAGAGACCTTCTTGCTGAGAGGCATCTGCTCTACCATCTAATCCACCGTGCCACTGAACAGATTTCAGTCACCTCAAAATTTCTAAGAAGTATGCTAAGTTAGGTAAGAATAGGGTTAAGTTAGGTTACTTTGGGCAAGGGTTAGACTGTATTTTAATTTTACACTATAGCTCAAGGAAATGAACTACTGATTGAAATCTGCTTTGGTTAAATTTCCACAAATTTTCTAAACTTAAAGTCCTCTGTTGATAAGTACTACAACTCCATTTCAAAATACCAATTTTAACATTCATAAGTGTATTTTTCTAATTTCTACTCCCTGAAAATAAAGTAATAAAAACAGTAAATATTTGATTAACTGTAGACTCAGAAGTATGATGTTAGTCACATATAGCCACATGAAAAGCAACTACATTTTCTACAATGAATGAAAATATATGAAGAGGTAATAAATCAAAAAAGCAAAACATAAAAATCAAATCTGAAATTTTTGACTCTTATTTATACATTGAGTATTATTGAGTGACTTCAGGTTTTCCAGCATAAAAAATAAAAATTTTCAATTCAATGCAATGCTCTCTTTATACATGAATTTACATATGTAATAGACTATAAAATTCATAATTGTTTTATAAAACCTAAACTCATTAATGATTTTGAAATAATTTTGACATTTCTTGTCTTTTTTATTTTGAAATATGTCAACATTAAACAAGAAACTGAACAAAATATACAAGTGGTGTTAATAGTATTAACTCATTTTATTTAACTAATTCTAAAATCAACTGATTGAAAATATGGATTCTCAAAGGATGAATGTRCACTTTATTGTGGTGATTTTCATGGACAAATGTGCAAATCTTTACTCTCCTATTTTTTCTCTTTTGTATTGTTCTACATTCATAATCATTTAAAGTGATAGCATAAAATGAACATTGATACAATGAGAATGGTTGTGGGTTTTTTTTTTTCATTTTTGCACATTTAAGTTTATTTTGTATGTCTCATTTGTCTTTTAAATAGAAAATGTAGCAAACGTGACTTTTTTTATTTTATTTTATTTTTTATTTTACCAAATTCATCCTTTATGGCTTTTAGACACTCACTGATATAACAAAACATTCACTTTATGCTTAGATGAGTATTTTGTCCTGTGCAGTCCTCCTCTTAACGATGTGAAGGTTAAACATTGTAAAAAAAAATAAATTATTAAAAGGGGCAGCACCACCTGCCATATAAAAGTAATCAACATATAGACCAGACAAACGTGTAAAAGAAGTAGAGTGATTATGGGARCATTATTGTACTCACCTTTGCTCTCGAGTATCTACTTTAACCTTTTATATTTTGTGTCTTTTTCTCTTCCTTTGACTTGCAATTTAGGGAAAAAGTTTCATCTAAATGAAATGCACAAGCCAGGTGATGTGGTTCTGGGAGGGCTGTTTGAGATCCACTATACTTCTGTCTTCTCTGCATGGACATTTACATCTGAGCCACAACAGCCCATCTGCAAAGGGTGAGTATCGCACACATGCTATACAACCAAAATACTGATACACAATTTATGCTTTGTTCAGAACATGTAATATACTWTAAATAGCATTTAGATTATTTAAAAATACTAATGAACATTTGGGTTAAATACTGTACAAATATGGATCTGCAATACCATATGATTGTTGCCGTTTTTACATATGTTTCTTCTGCTTTTCTACCAATAACTGTGGAGGTTAATGGTAACATATTATTTGTGTTAGTTTTGATGCTTTAGGATTCCGGTATGCTATGACCATGGCCTTTGCTATTGATGAGATCAACAAGAACCCTGCTCTTCTTCCAAACGTGACTCTTGGATACAGCCTGTATGATAACTGTGGTGCTCTTGTTATTGGATTCAGTGGTGCCTTATCTCTGGCCAGTGGTCAGGAGGAGCAGTTCCTGCTTCAGGAGAACTGTTCTGGAACCCCTCCAGTCCTGGGGATTGTTGGAGACCACTACTCAACTTTTTCTATTGCCATCTCCAGTGTCCTAGGTTTATATAAAATGCCAATTGTAAGTTTAAAGATTTTCATTATAATTTAACTTTAACTTAATTTTTAAAATCATTTCTGTATGCATAAAATGAGAAACTGTTTGTATGTTTCTTTAGGTGAGTTATTTTGCCACATGTTCCTGCCTTAGTAATCGGCAGCTCTTTCCCACCTTTTTCAGAACAATCCCAAGCGACGCCTTCCAGGTGAATTTTATTTTACCAAGTTGTGTTTTCTGTTTCAGACATGACAGCAAGCTACGAATTGGTACTTAATGACTCAGCCATTTCTGTCTTTGACCCTGATACAACTATTAAAATGCAACTGGAATATTTTGTTAGTAAGGAAAATTACAGAATATACAGTGATTTCAGGTGGTAACAAAAACACTCATTTTTTAATAGTCATATATTCATAGGTGCGTGCCATGATTCAGATTCTGAAACACTTTGGCTGGACGTGGGTCGGCCTGCTGGTCACTGATGATGATTACGGACTTCACGTTGCCCAGTCGTTCCAGTCTGACCTGTTTCAGTCTGGTGGAGGCTGTCTGGCATACCTCGAGGTTTTGCCCTGGGACAGTGACCCAGTTGAACTAAAGAGGATTGTAAATTTATTGAAGATGTCAACAGCCCAAGTGATCATCGTGTTTGCACATGAGATTCATATGATTCAACTAATGGAGGAGGTTAGTAATAAATGTTCTTTTTAATAAACCAGATTTTGTTGAAAAGAATTTAGATGTTTAACGAAAAATTGCCAAGGATAATCTAATATAAATGCAGTGTCTCCATCAGGTGATAACTGACAATGATGTAAAAAAATAACTGTCTCATTTGCATTTAATATCTTTAGGTGGTGAGACAGAATGTGACAGATCGGCAGTGGATTGCTAGTGAAACCTGGACTTTAGCATCTGTACTGCAGACTCAACAACTTATGCCATACCTGAGTGGCACCCTGGGCATCGCCATCCGTCGAGGAGAAATACCAGGGCTCAGGGACTTCCTGTTGCATACAAGTTATGACCAAAATGATAGCAATAAAAATAATTTGGTAAGACTTTTTTCTCAAAAGGAAAAAAAATCTAAATCAATTACCTGTGAAAGAAACATGGTTATGAAATATTTTTTGAGATCTTTTAATATTATATTTTAGGTGAGGCAGTTTTGGGAAAACACRTTTCGGTGTAAATTTGATCCAGCAGATTTGGTCGAAGCAGACGGAGTCTTATGCATGGGAGATGAAGATATTGAGCAGGTGGCTACTGAGTTTTTGGATGTCTCYAACCTCAGGCCTGAGTACAATGTTTACAAAGCTGTTTATTCTCTGGCTTACGCCATTGATGCCATGCTGCAGTGTGAGCCAGAAGGACCTTCTAGTGGCCACAGCTGTGCCACATTACAAACCCTGAAACCATGGCAGGTGGGATGATCACTTGCTATTCCCAGACATTTTTGTTTGAATACAGTAATATTTTTGTTTATATTTTTGAAGATGTGTTTAAGAWTATATTTTGAAGAAACATTTTCATTTTTTTCTGTTCAAATTTAATGTCTTTTTCACTGCCCCATTTTTAAACAGTCTACTTTAAATTGTAAAAAAATAATGGTCTGCAACTAGATTCATGTGTTTGAGGTGCATCTGATAAACCAGCAGGCAGAGTAAATAAAAACATAATGTGTAGTAATATCAACAAATGAGAAGGCAAATCTTGAGATGTAAAACAYGTCAGTTTAGGAAGAGTAGAATTCATGTCCTCTGTTGAGAATATACAGTACCAATAGTGTAGATTTTGTAAAAGCTGTTTMTTTAAGACTGTATTGTTTTCCTTTTTAAATAAATTACATTTTTTTAGAGAATTAGCTGTATAAACAGCAGACAAATCTTTGATAAACTTAAGATACTCTTTTTGTTTAACAATGTCTCTATTGCTCTTTTAGGTTTTACACTTAATGCATGAGATCAATTTCACCACATCATTTGGAGATCAGGTGACATTTGATGAGAATGGTGATGCTCTACCAATATATGATGTTATGAACTGGCTGTGGCTTCCTGATGGAAGAGTTAAAGTTCAGAATGTGGGTGAGGTAAAGAAGTCAGACTCGGAAGGTGAAGGACTCATGCTAAATGAAGACAAAATCTTCTGGAACACTTTATCAAAAGAGGTAAATTCCAATTTCTAGATAGTACATCTTTTAAAATATTCATTGAAGTACTTTGATGACTGTTCTTGAATATTTCTCTTTTCTCAGCCACATCGTTCTGTTTGCAGTGAACCTTGTCCTCCAGGTACCCGCGTGGCCAGAGAAAAGGGGCGACCTGCATGCTGTTTTAGTTGTATCACCTGCTCTGATGGCAAGATCAGCAATAAGACCAGTAAGTGTAAATGTTGTTGCTGTTGTTTTACATTTTGAAGTCTGTTTTGTTTCTTAATATTGCAGCCATGTCCTGTTTCTYAGACTCCTTCGAGTGCTTCAGTTGTCCAGAGGACTTCTGGTCCRGCCCCCAGCGGGACCWCTGTGTTCCTAAGAAAACTGAGTTCCTGTCCTATCAGGAGCCTCTGGGTATCTGTTTGACARYCRCCTCAYTRCTGGGAACATTTRTCTGTGCAGTTGTTCTGGGGATCTTCATCYATCATCGCAGCACACCTATAGTGAGGGCCAACAACTCAGAACTGAGCTTTCTGCTCCTGATGTCACTCAAACTGTGCTTCTTGTGTTCGCTGCTGTTCATTGGACAACCCAAACTGTGGACGTGCCAACTGAGGCATGCAGTGTTTGGAATAAGTTTTGTACTTTGTGTCTCATGCATCTTAGTGAAAACCATGGTGGTACTGGCTGTGTTCAAAGCCWCYAAGGCAGGAGGTGGATCAAGTCTAAAATGGTTTGGAGCTATGCAACAAAGAGGAATGATTTTAGTTCTTACTTCCATTCAGGCAATGATCTGCACTGGATGGCTTGTCTTATCCTCACCAGCTCCACATAAAAACACCCAATACCACAATGACAAGATAGTTTATGAGTGCGCGATTGGTTCTACTCTTGGTTTTGCTATGTTACTGGGCTACATTGGTATGTTAGCTGTTCTTAGCTTTCTTTTAGCATTTTTGGCRAGGAATCTTCCCAACAACTTCAAYGAGGCCAAACTCATCACATTCAGCATGTTGATCTTCTGTGCTGTGTGGGTGGCCTTTGTTCCGGCCTACATCAACTCCCCAGGAAAATATGCAGATGCAGTGGAGGTGTTTGCCATCCTAGCCTCCAGTTTTGGTCTCTTGGCGGCGCTGTTTGGACCTAAATGTTACATAATCCTGATGAGACCGGAAAAGAACACAAAGAAAGCTATCATAAGWCGAAGAATCAAGTCATAATCCTGCACTCTATTTACCTCAGAAGTTCTACTTTGAACCCAGAAGTGACATTACATCCAATTAAACTGCTTTAGCAGCAAGTCCAAATGTCTGTGGGTTTTCTTCATTAATGTATTCAGTGACCAGGCTAACTGTTATGAGCAACAGCATGAAATTGCAGTTTATTTTTCTGACATTTATACATGTCAAGTTCTTTGGATTGTCTGTAATTTACACAGATCTTCTCTTATTTTGCAGGTATATGGACATATAGAACAATCTCACAGATTATTTCAAGTTTTACGAATTTTGTTTTCCAAAACATTCAAATTCATTTAACATGTCAGAGCCTGCAGGAGGTTAAAAAACAATAAATAACATCAAATAACCATCTTCCAAGCCACTCTGCTTTGGAATAAGTTATCCTGTCCTCATTTCCTCTGGCAGGTGCTGTCGCTGTCACCGAC